TCATCCCTTTCCCTCTCACAGAGGTGGTATACCCTGTTATCTCAGAACAATTCAGATTACCAGAAATAAAGTGAAAACTGTTTTCAGGGAAACATGCATTTATTTTTAAGCATTCCCAGTGAAGATCAACATCTTTTAAAATGTGTGTTTATTTAAAAAAAATCATTTGTGTACAAAAGTGTTTGTGTAGTTTTTATTTTCAAGACAAAAAAAAAAAACATCCCACTGCTGCTGCGTTCCAGCCCACCCGCTCCTCCTGCACAGGAAGTCTGAACCTCCTGCGTTAGTTATCGATAGTTTTATTTAACTAGAAAAGTCAGAACTTAGGATGGAAAAGTAAAAAGCAGGGTTCTTCAGCAGTTGACATCAGCATTCGTATGATGGCAGCCTCCTTCAGACACCCCAACAGAGCACCAGCAGTTGCCGCAAATCGTAAACCGGACAAGTACAGAATTTTCACAGTACATTTCCTCATCTGTCGAGTCCTGTATCTTAACTGACATTATCGATGGATGGCTCAGCACCACAAGCCCTTGGCTAAGCTAGTTGGATGCCTACAGAGCAGGTAACAGCAGAGAAGGAACATCACAGCACGGCAACAGCGCAAATGAGTCACAAGGGTTTGTCCACCAAGAACAAACCTGAAGTGGAGCTGCCGCCTACAGAGCGCCCCAGCTGGAGTAACCAAGCAAGAAGCAGGAGGCGTTAATGACAGTTGGTCATGTGAGTCTAATGATGAATCGGCTGATGACGCTAACGCCACAAACGGGAAGAGCAAGCTACAGGATTTACTGGAAGGTTTGGAATAGATCAGAAAATGATTGAAAAGCACTCGCCCCTTTGCCGAGCCGCAGGGGAAAGCTGTGCCTGGAAAATGAGGACGGTGAAAGATATCTACATGGGCTTCCCAGAAGAAGCTTTAAGCACCTAATGAGCATCTTTACGTTCACGCTTTAGCTCTGCGATGTCAGGCTGCATGATGAAAAGCACTTTCACTATCTCTTGTCAAGCCAACTGCTCACCCAAACCAACCACATGATCTCAAATCAGTGGCCACGCTCACCAAGATGCTTCTCATCAACTCCATCAACGAAACATAAAAGGAGGACACCTCACCCTCTCCATATCTGCTGATGAACAGATGCTCACGTAGAACTGCACTTCTCTGCTAAATTATTTAACCCTTGCCCCTTTGGGCAAGCCTCCTCTAAGGTAGCTTTTGTTGGTATTTAGAAAGGAAACAAGGGACACGCACACCGTCGGGCTTCCCCTTGTGCTGAAAATGGAACACTTCACCTTCACAGTATATGACCAATGTGGTAAACAAGAACTCTCGTTTGAAACTATATTTTGATTCCCCCCCTTTCTCCCTTCCCTGATTAAATAAGCAGTCCATATGCTCTGAAGTGCCTAGTCTGATTCACAGCTGTTAAGCTTAAATTTGCATAGTTTAAATGTTTCCATTACCCACACCACATAATGCAGATTTGGCCTCACAAGGTAAGCTTCTTTCTGGCTATTTAATTCCTTCTTTCAGACCACAAAAAAAACCCTCCTGTACTTATTCTGTCAAAGTTACAATGCTAATTTACTTAGAAAACAGTTAAATACACTGACAATTTAATAAAAAACAAACCAAAAACCAAAACAAATCACAACACAAGAAGAACCCAAGACATATTACCACATCAGTAGTACCCCATTACTCAGATGGCTGAACCAGTTACAGTCAAGGCCCCATGTTCTTTGTGGCAATAAAAAAAAAAAAAGAAATAAAGCTTGGAATATGGAGAATGAAAAGCACCAAGTGCTGCATCTTTCCAGAAGGATATGTTCCTAAGTTTTTGTCTCCAAAATGTACCAGTTTGTCACACTGAGAGCACAGCTTGCTTGCAGAAGCAAGGGGAGGAAACTGTGAAATTTGGCAAGTGGGGGTGGGATACAGTCAGGGCTTTTGGCAACAGGAAAGGGTATTTCTCTACCTTTGAACAAAGCTGTTCTTTCCTCTTTGGAGGAACTGGATGAGATCGGAGTTTCTTGCTCCTCAGCAAAACAAAGGATAAACCACTTTGCTGGATGCACATTAAAATGTTCAGCAGCAAAATCCGAAGGACGCTCTGGCAATCAGCAAGCATCATCACCAACACTTTGTTTGGAAAAAATGGGGCCACTCAGACTTCGAAACTACTGTTTCAAGCTGTCTGCTTACACAATAGAGCAAGACAATGTGGGATTTATGTGTACTTAGAAAGCAACTGTACCCACATTCTATGTTCTTGTTATGAGAGAGCGGTAAGTGCGCAGCTTGAGCCCATGGCTGGAGCAGACCACACAGCAACTCCGCACCTGTGACTGCGCAGGACCCTGAATATAGCGACAGAAAGGAGAAGTAAGGTTTTGTATGTACAAACTCACAACAATAAACTGAACACTTAACAGCAAAATTCCTAGGGCTCAGACCAGCTGCGGTTGAACTAACCTCATACAATACCCCTATATTCAACTCTGATAATTACCAAAAATACAAAAACATTCCTTATAAAGGACTCGTGTGCCAAAATACAGATTCCTCCTAAATGCTGGGTCATGTTTCCTTCCCAGCTCACTTCGAGAAGCCTCCCTCCTGCCAGCACCTGAGCTGGCATCAAGACACCTTTGCTACCAAGCACAGGGATGGTGGGCAAAACTGAGCACCCAGCATCTCTAAGGGGAAAGGGGAAGACGAGTGTTTTACAGTAGAGAAGAAAATGAGGTAACTTCGTGAAAGAAGTAAGACCTAACAGGACATTGTTTCAGAGGTGACCATGCTCACCCAAGAACCATTTCTTCTGTTCTGCTCCTCCTCCTGGCTTCCTTTATCCCTTTAGATATCACTGAAGAAACCTGCTGTTCTTAGCAGACTGAAAGTTTATCAAAAGACATGTTCAGAAGCCCATAATTGACAAGTTTTATGTCCCCAAGAACATTTTCCAAGTTCTTTCTTTTGATAAATAGCAGCGAAGAACAAGGGACAGTAGTCAGCAATTTATAATTACCACCAGGGTAAAGGAAAAAAAAACACCAAAAAACACACCAAAACCCACAAAACAACATTGTTGATGCAATCAAGAAGTTCTTAGCCTGTAACACAGAAAAGACAGCAACTTGAGATTAACACAAGTGGCATAATTTCCTACCATGCCTGGTTTTCCCCTAGCAAACCAGCTGAATGGTAGCAGCTCCTTGTTAAAAAATAAATATAAGGAAAGACAAAAAACCTCATTTCCTTTGGCATCATTACAAATGATTTACATTAACTCAAGAAAACCAATCATTGACTACACCTTAAAAAGCAGTTAAGTATAAAGACGAAGCAAATGCATTTAGTATTGCACTGATACGAGTTCAAAGTATTTACTGCCTGTGCCCTGAAATATTTTAAGTTTGGACACATCAGACAGGGCATTACAGGGAACATCCCCAAACCAGGTAGGTCTCTACAGCTCTATTTGCTGGTTCTGTTCCCCTATCGCTATGCTCCAGATATTTAACAGCTACCATAATGTTCCTGATTTCCTCTAGTATGATTTATAACGTACTGTCTATGAAGTGCAGAACTATTTCAACTTGTACTTCATAGCTCCAGAAAATACCCAGAGAGACGTGTATTTCCCCACCCCATTAATCCAGTTTAGGAGGGAAAAAAAAACCGTCATGGAAAAGATGACTTATACAGTACTCCATCATCCACAATCCCCACTTGCTAGTCTCAGGATTTCTCTGAACTTCCTTGTCAGATATATTCTCAAAAGTTAGCGTCATATTCACAAAGACATTACAGGTCTCTTTAAATAGATGTGCTAGTGTTTGAAGTTGCAAAACTAATAATTTTCAAGCTTTTGCACTCAGGATGAAATGTCATTTTAATACGAATAACAAGACTGACTCTATGTACAAGCCAAGATAAGATTTCAGTTCTCGTTTATCAGAAACATCAATCCAAAAGAAAGCTAAATTGAGAACACACTTCTACTTCTATGTGCATTGGAAGTATGTACAGAAAAAACACCAACACAGCCTCCATGCGTCAACTGGAGAAAGAACCAAGCAAGGATGAACTTTGAAGTACCTGGTAAGCAATCCTTAAATTGAAGCCCAAAATAAAGCTAGAAAACCGCTGAAAAAACAAAAACACAGCTGATTGCATCATATCAAGTACTCAAAAGAATTTTTTTTTTTAATTCTCAGAACACTGGAGAATCAGCTCTCTCCTCCTTCAAACCCAGTGAAATCATATCATCCAGAATGTACTGAAGAACATTTTACATCCATTTAAAACAAAAAAAAACCCCAAACCAAAAAAACCCCCAGCTCCATCTTTTTGTGCTATAGAGGCATAACTCCTTTTGAGATTGTGTAGAAATCACGATGGATGAAAGTTACTGGTAACTCAAAACGTATTTTTCAAGAGGAGCCTAGACTACTGTAAATGGCACACATAATACCCACAGATGATGAAACAAAACCTAGTGTGGATTTTTCAGCCGTATGATGTAAGGGAGAGGAGAATCAGGTTTCCCAATTAATAAGCTTGAAAGAAACCGGCTCTGAACAGGTCACCATTTGGAACTTTGGGTAAGTCTTCAAAGTCTTTCAGGAAAAAAAACCAAAACAATTTACAAGAACGCTCGAGTATTTCAATGGTGCTCTCTTCAGCGACCCTACCTAATATGTCTATTAAGTACAAGCATGCAAATATAGGTCAATCCACAGGCACATAGGATCCATGTTAAAAACAGTAAGATAGCTGTGATGAGTGGCACCAACAGTCTTTGATGACTAACACTCAAAAGAAATGTTGCTTTCTGAATCACTAAATCAAAATCCTGAAGCAAGTTCCTGCTAGTCTTCGTCACACTGCTAAACACTAAGTAGGCATGGTTTTTCTCCCATTATTTTAGCTGAGCTCAAAGAATTTTTACAATATTTAGTAAGAAAAAAAAATTAAAGTATTTCCCCTTTTTTAAATTTACACAGACGTTTAATTAGCTTTATTTACAGAGCGCTTTTTTTCAGTCTCCAATAGTGCCTAGATAGCATCATCAGGCAAGAGTGCCAGTTTTAAAAGAGAATCTATTATAGAATCCTAAAAATAACAGATGGTGATGCTCCTCCAGAAGGGGCAAGCTGGACTATCGAAGCAGCTCTCTCTCTACATGGCTCAGTTACTCAGGAGTAATTCTGTTGCAGTCTCTACATCCCATGATTTTGAAGACAAGGCCACTATTACTGCATTCTGCAACGAGAAAACAAAAGCAATAATTTCAGCATGTGAACCTGCAGCTCCGAGAAGTGGAATCAAAAGTTCACAGATTAATCAGAAAGCAACACTCTTACCATTTGTTAAATCCTAAGCAGTAATTTACAGAAAAATTCTTTCAAAAAAGAGCAGGGAGAGCTCATAAGATTTACTAAAAACATAGTATTTTAAAACTCTGATTCTTAAAAACAATTAGCAAACCAGAACGATTATACCTGCAAGAGGTCACAGAAGAAGCAAGCGTACTTCATTATCCTAATGACTCCCTGCATTTATACACAGGTACTTGCCCTGCCCCTACTGAAAAGTATTTAAGTTATATATACTTACCCTATCAAAGCCCATAGCACAAAGGTTTTCTATTTTTTTGGTGTATTCTGGACTAGAAACTGGTGCTCCAGCATACACATGTGCCCAAAGTCGAGCTGTCTGTTTAAACATTTCTGGATTTTGTTTGTACTACACAAAAGAGAGAAGGGGAAAGTTAAATCAACTCAGCAATCCAACCAAAAAGCAAGATGATACGGCAGATTCCAATCCATCGTTCTCTCTACGGTATCTCAGTGTTCCGCACTGATCATACTGCTGGTTTTGAAACAAAGTCAGGAGGCAAGGATTACACGTAGGATAAACTCAGGCAAGCATTTGATTCAACGTGTTTGTTTTAGGTTAAATGAGACACTACAGGCATTTTACGTGTACAGTCAGGTACTGCTCTCAGTTGCACCCATCAAAAGTAAAGTGGCTATATATAGCACAGCTACTGAAAATTTATATTCAGTCTGGCAGAGCACAAATTATCCCCACTTCACATCTCCCGAGTCCAGGTACCGCACACTGCTCTATGGTATTGCTTTAATCACTTAAAAATATGCCTGGTTTTATATACTGCAAGTAGGTCTGCAGTTTTTCAGTCAGGGCTGACATTTTACTACCAGGCTTCCTCCTGAGAATAAGGATATCGACAGCACACATGACAAAAAGGCTGAAAAAAATGGGTGAGCGTGTGCAAAAAGCTAGGAAGCTGCAACATCTTATGCAAGCTATTATTTACCAGGAAAAAAAAAAAAAAAAAAAATCAATCATGCAGGGTACGTAAATATTATTTTGCAACAATCTTGTCACTAACAAATTTTCTCGTCTACAGAATGGACTTTATCACAGAGTTTTCAGCCTGCACCAAGAACTCAAAAGCCAAGAAAGTAGGTCATCTGTCATACACTGTACTCAGAAAAGCAAGGTACGTTTTCTTTTTTAGCAACTTTTGTATGTAATAAAAAGTTTAAGGGTTTGTACTAAAAACTCTTTAATCATTAAACTTTTTTAAATAGGCATTCCCACCTTTAGATACATAATAACTTTTAGCACCAAGTAATAAGACAAGATATTGGGAACTATCTTATTTAAATATATGGTAATATTAAGGACAGAAACCAGCCAATTATCATTCTAAGCATTTTATATTCACATGAAGAGACTCATTAAATCTATAAAGCACTGTCAAAGGGAACACAATACTGCTGCACATTTCATTTTACCTCTCCTACAGCACCACACACCAGCTACACTGACTGCACTGTGTGCTTTGTGCACCTCCCACTAATTCTGCTCCACATAGAGTAATTTGTATATTTACTATCCATAAATGGCATTAAAACAAACACAGGCATCAATCTATCTTCGCAAATAAGTCACTGACTCAAACACTGCGTTCTGTAATACATTTCCTTGGTTGTAATGACTAGAAAAGAAGAAGGATTAACTGAAGCATCAGTAGTATCTTGAAGTATTATATTCTTCTGCTCTTAAGAGATCTTCCCCTTTTTTTCTTTTAAGTATTTTTGAGAACATTGCCAAGCCTAGAAAGCAACTAGCTGAAGTGCAAAGGATTAGTCATAACTGCACAACTACATTTTATTCTGAACTAGCTTTCAGTGTTCTATAAATAAAATTCCTTTACTTAGATATCTGTAAATAATCTAGCTTCTCACTGAATTGAGAAAAGCCTAAAGGCACCTTTTACTGATGTTTCTATATCGGGAATCTGAAGCAGCTAATCTTGCTGTACTCAAAACCTCCCCCCCCCCGCCCCAAACCAGCAGCTAGCTGAAGTAGTTTTGACACCAGACAGCTGGTGCCTGAAAATACTGCCATTATTCAAACAGGAGTTCTCCCTGTGTTCTCCCTGGGATTCAGCTTGAGAGCTTGTAAGACACTGCCACTTACCTGGACAGCTTAGTAGTCGAACACACAGTTTAGAAAATTAAAATGATGAAAAATTAGTACAGAGGTTAACTAATTCCTTGTGAATTTTAGTTCTGAAAAAACTAAAACAAAAACAAGAAATCCCACACTAAAAAAGACCTTACCAAAAAACAACACACTAAGGAACTGGGATTTACTACCAAATTTCAAAGACATTATAATCACTTTCTACTTATATATACATGTTTATAACACCAGGTCAAACCCAAGTCTCATTTTCATGCAGACATTTGCAGGGAACAGGAGAAACCAAATCCTCCTCCCACATCAGCCTTGCTACAGTCCCACTGGACACATCCCCACAAGCACCTGAGAGACAGCCTGGGAAACTGCTCTTCAGAACCTAGGAAGATTCATTAAATTTTTTTTTGCCTGAGAAAAACCTCTCATTCCAGCTCAAGTGCTTCTGTAAGACTGTTACGATTCCCACACTAAATTCTACCATCAGGGCCAGAATAGGAAATCTTATGCATGGTTTGGGTTTTTTTAAATGGTTTTGTTAAATAAAGGGAGAGCATGACAGCAAGGGCACGCATCGGGCCTTGCTGGCCTCTGTGCAGAGCTATTCAGTCAGACAGAATGTTCAGGGACATTTGTTCAGAGCAGCCGTACGGCGCCGCAGGATCCCACAAGCAATCCCTGCAAAAGCTCCCGCTCGCCCAGTGGTGCAACGAGCTACCCTCGATCTCCGCGTTTCCTCCAAATCCTGACAGGTTTGATGAACTGCTGATGTATCCACCTTTTGAGGGAAGGGGCACACACTGAAGTCACCCTAACCCAGAAGGGCCTGATTTATGGGAGACAAAGACAAGATTGATGTTGGAAGAACCTTTTCTACTCGCTCACTTCTTTTGCTACCAAAATATACCACCAGTCTGTGGGGAAGCTGGGCCTCCTCTCTCTCCCCAGAGTAAAAAAGAAAACAACATGCCCATACTTGGGACTCTGTTGAAAATTGTCAGACTTATGTTATGCAACAACCACTCCTAATGTTCACCAACACTTTAAATAGAACTAGTCAGTCCTTGTATGACATAGGGCATTTTATCATTATTAGGTTTTTTGTAAGTTATTGCTACTGTCCAAAGGGTAACAAGCTCTGTCGATGATAGAATTCTACTGATAACCATTTTAGTCACTGCTTGAAATGGCATCTCGAGTACTTGCCAAGGCAAAAATATATAAGATGCTTCATTCAGATGAATTGTTCCTTGGGATTAAATGCAATTCATTTAAAGTCACTATTTATAAAATTGACATAAAAAAATATAATGCTCAGCGATACTCATTAATCTGGAAGAGCAGGAACATATCAAGCCAAATCAAATGAACACCAAGTTAAAACTCATTTTACAGCAATACAAATTGCTTTTCTTACCCTAGAAGCCTTAGATTTTAAAAGAGAAGTTATACTGGAATTCATTTTACTATACCATTATCTCCTGACATTTCTGAGAAGCTAAATAAGGAACCAAACTAACAAAATAAACCTCCCAACATTGTAAAAAAAAAACCTGCTTACTCTGGCATCCAAAGAGTAAAGAGCACAAAACACCACAATAACTCACACTTACTGCAGGGCAAAAACTGAGTATCTCACCTGGTTTGCCACTACTGCATCTTGGGGATCATCTGGCTCTGCAGCTGCCAACAATGCTTGCAGTGATAACAACACTGTTCTTAGAGTCATTGCTGCTGCCCTAAAATAAAAAAGTGAAAAGTACTTTACTGAAGCCCATGTCTGCACTCACTTTTGCTGTTGCTGTACTAGTATCATAGAAGATACAAGAGTACACATACTGTAAGTCTAAAAACTGTAATTTTAAACCATGGCAGCTTACAGGTATTGGAATATTATTCACTATGTGTACTTAAATAAGGTTTTAAATGTGGACTTACTAACAATTCTTTCTTAAGCTTTTGGAAAAATGCAGTCCTTGACCTACACATTTGACCATACCCACTTTAAGAGAATTCATTTCACCTGGAAAAAAAAGTACACCCATTTGAAGTTTGTGTCATCCTTACTACCATTAACAGCACCTTTAGCAAGGTCTAGGTACTGAACTGGCAGCCCATGTGTGCTCCCTCTGCTGGCACTCTTCACAGCCAAATAGCATACACAAAAATAGTGACCTATATTTTAAAATACTTGGAACAGATAAGAAATTTTATACAATAGGTACCTTTTGCATTGCAGCAGTTCTAAGACGACATTTTCCAAGAAAATTTAACAGTTTATATAATGAATTGCTACTACTATAACAACAAAAACGTTTGGGTATTACAGAATGTGCAATTGAAGATCTCAGCTTCCTCTTGTTTCAACCTGACATAACTGTCAGAAGCAGGAAACCATTGTGTAATCATGATGGTGCTGTAAAGTGACTCCCGTACCCCACGAAAGAAACCCATTGGAGGTAGTGTAGTTTTAGAGTTGGAACTTACTAAGGTTCTACGGTCTCCTAATTCACCTTGATCTCAAAGTATATTTGGAATAAAAGACTTCAATGATTTAGTAATGGAAAACCAAGGACATTCATAGAAGTCAATAAACAGAAAAGTAAAAGCACAAGATTGTTACACACTGCAAATCTGGAAAAATGTGACATTTTAAATGTAGAGTTGAATCAGATTTTGACCACGAATACCATCTCTGACCTATCATTTCAGCTGGCGCACACTGGAAACCAAACAAGGACCCCATAGAACCTGTAAAAGTTCAGTATTTCAGTTGATTTCAAGAGTTAAGCAGACTGTTAATCACTGTGGAGAAGGCAGACAGACACTCAGATCAATACACAGAACTGCTTACTCTGCTTAAGCACTAGTAGAAAGGTGGAAATGTGACATCTTAGATTTGAGCAAAATGGTTAGAGCACACGAAACGCCAGAGAAAAGTTCTGAAACACAGGCATCCGAGCAGCCGATTTCTTACAGAAAAACTGTTCAATTTTTAATCAACAGAAAGTAGTTTATTCTTTTCAGCAGACCAAAAGTAAATAGTCTACTAGAGTAGGTGAGGTAGAATTTGACCCAAAGGTCCAGACACAAAGGAAACTGTTTGCAAATCTATTTCCATTCTCATATTTCATGAAGTTATCTGCTTTCCAATCCCAGGGCCCTGTATGGAGGTACTCTAGCAGAGTGTAACAATGAACAGAGAACAGATGCTGGCAAAGTGTCGGGGTACACTTGTGACACCCAAATATTATATTCCTAGGTGTCTGCATGGACAGCTTTCCTGCTATGCCACTAACCATTCCAACATGGCATTCCTCCCTAATTGTTTCTAATTCTAGAAGATTTTTCCTAGAAGTTTTTCTCCAGCTTGACAATCATCACTGAGCTTTCACAGTGCAGTGTTCTACATCAAAACTCCAGCAAGCAACATCCAAAATAACAGTCTAATTAGCACATATTGTCTCATTCCAACTGCCACATGAGCTTGAAGTCCCTCAAGCTGAACTTTGCAGTCTAAAATATTTTAAAAAATATTGTCCTGCTTTTAGAACTGAATTCTGATAAATCACCAAACCTCTTTTCCGAAAGAATTCCTTAGCAACTAAACTTTTCCCCCCTAGAATTTCAGATTCTCTCTCACTTTAAAAATTTAAGTCTTCATAGTTCCAAGCTCAATGCTTCTTCCAAGCCAAATATTTCTTTAAATGACAATACAGAGGATTAACTAGTAAGATTAAACATAATCAGATAAAGAACACCTACTTACTGAAACATCCTCAGTTGTATGATGACAGCCTAGCTAACATAGTAAACCCAGGAATACAAAGCATCTTGGTTTTCCACACCTAAATCACACACACAAACACCTCACTGAAAGAACAAAGAAACATTTTTGCTTTACAGGTACCTACACTATTTTGCTTTTATAATGTCCTGTTCTTTGTGGCCTCTTTTGGTTAATACTGCACTGAAATTAATCTTATGTACACACTGTTGACATAACTCAAAGTGGTATCTGCTAGCATTAAATTAATGTAAAGCAACATGTTTACTATTCCAGCATTCTGATGTCACAGAATGCCAAGTCTTTCCAGCCTCACTATGCTCAAATAGATTTAACCATTTTTTATGCAGTGAATTCCAGTTAAGTAATTGTATTACTCTAATTAAAGACAGACTTAACATGAGATATCGATCAACTGATGCTGTGGTTACTTTCAGCAAATAAAAGCTGCTCTGCACTTTTCTTTACAGAAATCCTAGAGACATCTGAAAATGCTGCCAGCATTTAAAGTAGAGAAGATGACACAGGAGGGGTCACAGCTACTTGTGCCGCTTTTACATGCAATTTTCTTCCATCTACACTGTTTCTTCCAGGAACAGAAAACATACCTTGGGGAGCAGAGGGCATTAATAAAGCCCGAAAAGTGCTGTGGAAGCCTAGAACACAAGTTCTGTGCTGGCTCCAGCCATCTCTGGCTTTGAAGACTGCCAGGCTCTTTCAGTCCCTGCTCATCTGTTACGTTTGTAGATTTTTATACAAAGCATACTAGGACTTGAACTTCTGTTCTGACATTCCAATTTCAAAATGAGTAATAAAAATACCTCATCCATGTGGGTATACAGATGGCTATACGCTCAGAGAACTCAAACACTAAAATAATAAGTTTGTAGACAAGACTAGTTCAGTTATATATGTAAAAAGGTTTAAAAATGTACTTTACAACTTGTTTTCAAACCTCAAAATGGCTTTCACATATCATGCATAATAAGACAAAGTCTTCATTGGACACAAGTTTTGTTTTTTTTAAAGAAGCCTTAAATCATAAAAGAAACCCTTCAGCTACCGTATTAAAAAAAGGAAATTACATTTTTGTGATTAATACAAAGCATTCCATGTAACCATCTTATACTCATGTAACATTTTCTACCTTTAGGACACCAATTAGCTTTCCCAGTCAAAGAAAGCAGAAGTCTTGAAGTTTTCTGTGTAGCTTAGTCTTAATTTTTCAGACATAAATCGAGATTCCCAGAAGAAACTGGAGGGACAGCTAAAAAGAGATTCTTACTTTCCAAGTATCTTAAAAAGCTCTTCTTTCTTCCCATTACCTTTTGCTGTGAGTGTGGATTTTTGCACATCTTGGTGGTGTTCAAACAATTCTCTTTGGTAACTTAAGGTAGCTACATGCATTTTAGGTTTTTTCCCCCTCCTTGCCAAAGGCAAGGTTTTGCATCGCTCCTGACAGACTTGTGTCTAATCTGTTCTTCACTGGAGCCTCACAAGTTTCTTTGAAAATTTATTTCAATGCTTCACCACGCTTGATACTCCACATGCTGAAATGGCTTTCCTTTCAGTCTGTCACTGTAGGTTGTATTTGCTTAGACCATCATTCTTGCTACCTTACTCTGAATTCTTCCTGTGGTTCCCATCTTTCTTGGAATGCAACGCTCAAAGTGGGCACACTACTCCAGCAGAAGCCTTACCAACAAAAAGCAGACAACTTGTATCATGAGTTTAGCAGGCAAAAAATATCCTACACCCCAGCATCTTACCCTGCGCACAGTAGTAGGCTGCCTCTGTCCTAAACTTTTGTGACAAACCCTCGACTCTCACTCCCTTTCCAAAATGCTATTTTACCACTATGCAGGCTTGCAAGTTTGGCCTTTCCCCCTGTTAAGTAGATGTCCCTAACATCTCCTAGTGAGCTGCAAAGAGCTCCCATTGTCCCTCCAAGAACTTCAAACTAGAAGCCTCCACTCTGGACATCCTAACAAAAACCAGGCTTTCTATTGGCATCGCATTTGTTAAACAGCAGGGGAAGCCTGGAGTGAATCAGAACAAAGCAAGCTGATATGTTTTAGTTACACTTTTTTTTGGGTAATATCTTAGGGCATTTCCATTTTTAAAAAAAAAAAAAAAAAGGCACTCCTAGTTTGGGTGAATATAGCGATAATATTAAAAAGCACAGCAAGCCAGCTGTGCCCAGCATGCCTGAGGTAAGAAATCTCCTACCTTTTGATGAGCTGAAAAAGTCTTAAGAGGATTATGAAACACTGCCAGTTTTTCTTTTTCTTCCTTTTTAAAGGCTAAGTAATTTTCCATTTAGGAAGTTTTTACTTATGCTCTGTACATTCCTCTCTGGAAACGCTCTCTCTAGTTACGCTGAGGGGTATCCCAGCAGAACAACAGGAACAGCTGCAGCCAGCAGATTGCTGCTCTGCTCTGTCAACCAAATATGGCTACTGGGAACAATTTCTATTTTTTTTATTTTTTTAAGGAAAATCTGCAATATTTATTCCATTTGTGAAATAACTAAGCTTGTTAACCCAAGGAAAAAAAAAAAGCTCTGGGAACTTGTACCAAGGCCTTATGGAATCTTGAAGGAGGGAGGAAATGAATAAGGCCTTCAAGCAGATGCCTGGTGTACAGTCACTATTTACAGGAGAAATGCAAGACTGGGCATCCAGTAGGGAAAATAAAAGAGAACAGAATAGCTTTGATAGAGTGCAGGGAGGGAAAGACAGACCACTTACTGAAGAGTTTCCTCAAACAATGTTAATATTCTCTGCATTTTTCTCAGAGTTTTGAAGACGCTCACTGCTCCTCAAATACCTGGACAAAACCCAGCAGTTTTATATGCCCAGAATCAAAAGCTGGCTGTTGCTTACATATTTATTAAAATTGTATTCTCTTATAATAACAATTTCTGAACCTCAACTACAACTGAAGTGTGAATCCTCCGGTACAGCCACTAGGAAAAAAGTAATAATTATTCATTTTTATTTTGACTGTCAAAACAACAACAGTCAGGAGTTTTTCATAGCCACATACAGCCACAACACGTTCGCTTGATAACCACTGCTCAAGAGATTTAAACAGAGTAACTTTCAAGTAATCTAGTCCTCAGGTTTCAATGAACAGTATCAGATAGCCTTCATATTTAAGAATAATATTTTGAGACAGAATACTAGCCTGGAAGTATAAGGTACAGCAAGTGAAACCACAAAATCAAAGTCATATCAGATCAACTTAAACAGAGTTCCTCCTACAAAAATCATATCCCTAACTCTACCAGCAAACAGTAGCTGTTCTGCAAGCAAACTGGCATAACAGGTATTTACAAATCTAAACATGTTGAAAATCCACAGCTGCAAAGAATTACAGCAGTAAGTGTATACTGTGGAGAAAATTTCATTAAACTCATTAAAAAACAATTTAAAGACATTCCCTTGCAAACTGATAAAACCTCCTGTCAATACACAGAACAGTATTTCAACTACGCTCATTAGAACAGAAAAATCATTATCATGGGATGGATGAGCAGGGAAAAGACTTTACACATTAAAATCTTTGTATTTGTATTCATCATACGAGTATTCTATCAGTTTAACTCTTTAAAGACAGCCTATTAAGTCCCACAGGCCCATATTCCATCCTTCAACTCCCATTGACCTCACTGAAACAGAGATATGCATTTGAATTTGAGACTTACATTTAAACACAGCAACAAGAGCAGCATTATTCAGTTAAGAGCATTACAAAGTCAATGAAGCGGCACTTGAGAAACAGAGCTTCTTACTAAAAGATTTGACAAGAGAGACCGTGGAACTAAATATGTCATCAGAATATTTCAGAATTGCAGTCGTCCCATTCGCCTTTGAATGCTTGGTGAAATCCATTATGTTGTCAAAGTTGGGGGCGGTGCTTTAAACAATGTTAACCATTCATACAGCTTAGGAAGTTTTAGGAAGGTGCTCAGAGGGGGAAGGAAAAGGCTTATCTATCACAATACTGATATCCTTGAAACAAGAAAGGATTGAGGTAGCCACAACAGCTTCTTCTCCTTCAAAGGACCAGAGCCTTGGACAAGCACTTCAACAACACTCAAGTGAATTTCATTTACTATTCTATGATTAAAAACCAAACAAAACTTACAGAGCACCACTAGAAAATGAAGGGATCATTACATTAAGGATCATCTGAAAAGGGATTATATTACAGTAAATAGGAAACCTCCCCCTGCCACCACCAAGTTCTACCAAATTCTTTCCTTAGTCCTTCCAGATGAAGACAGTGTTTCAAAGGAAGAACTTAGCAGTATTTAAGTGGCATAATAATGGTGATCCCTGTGCCAGCCAGTTTAAATACAGAAGGCAAGTTCTTGTTCCACGACTCCTTACCTGTACATATCCTAGTGAAGGAAGGTATTAATGGCTTTTTTAATCAGGCAGAACTAAGGCACAGATTAAGTTATCTATACAGGACCTGACTTTCAAAGGTTACAAGAACATAAGTCAAACCTCCTCTCCTGTTTCTCCTTTCCAAATCTCAATGGATTTGACTAAAATAAATTAAAAATAAGCTGAAGCTGATTATTTCTCTAGATTTTTGTTGCCTTTTGGTATTTTATAGTTTTTAGCTTGAATGAGGACTGAAAAGTTCAGAAACTTTAATCTTAAAGCTATTAACTGCTTCATTCATTCTTAAAACAGCAGTTTTGGGGTAAAGCTGAATTTTGTGAGACTGTTTCAAGTCACAATGTTTGACAATGCTGAAAGACAACAAATGACCTGTTCCAGGGCTGGAAACCAAGATGTGGTCTCCTGAATCTCAGTCCATTGCCACAAAAGCAAGATCATCCAACCCTTCTCCACAGAAGACACTAATTAGGGAATATACTGAAGTAATATGAAGATAAAAGTACTTTAAAAAGATGCTAAATTACTTTGGTGTTAATTCGGAATGTGACAGATAAGCATTACTTCTACTAGGAACCAGCTTTTCTCAAAGTTTTAGGGGAAAATACTAGATAAGCATCATTGGAGAAACATGACATTTAAGAACTCCAGTGTAGGAAGTTTAGCCTTGAAGATACTTATCAAAAGTCACATAACTTTTGATACTATGAGAAAACACTCATAAGGTCTATTCCACAGATTTTGGCTATTAAAACTTTTTCAGTAACATTAAGTAACTGAAAGTCAGCAACTGACCAGCAACTAATAGGCAAATGGTTTACAGAGGCAAAAAATCAAATGTCATCAGTAATAACTGAGGCAGAACCAATACAGTCAGTCTCTTCTCCCCCTCCTATTGCTGACTTGTTCCCTTTTGTACTCCCAGGCTCACTTCATACACTGTTTTAGCTCTATCAGAACCAGTTTTTATTTGGAAGTAGAAGTCAAGAATGAAGAAAAGCACTTTTTTTTTTCTGCTTACACCTCAGGAAGCTGAAAGGACAGAATTCAGGACGCAACAGGTAGCACTTGTTCATGAAAAAGAATCAAATAAAATTAACTCCTTCAGAAATACCTAAAACACCAACAACAATGAAATGGTCACTCTAACATTAAATTTTTTTTAGAAGCTTTCTATATAGTAGCTACTTAGTACTTTCCAAAACTACCAACTAATAATTTCATTTTTATCTTTTCAACTTAGAATACCGTACTGAAATACACCTCAAATACTGAACTACACCTCAAACAACAAATGCAAAATGAAAAGCAACACGAGCTGTGGCCTCCTATCCAAGACACTGGTATGTTTGATTCTATACGGATTCTATATGGAATCTTACCATTGATCTTTCAGAATATCCAAACAAATGGCGCCAGTGACCGAACTAATATTGGGATGCCATATTTTGGTGATAAATCGCACCTAGAAGACAAAACAATTTAAAAAATAAACAGTTATTAAGCACAGTATCTTAAGTAAATATTTTATAATATTACTAGATATAGTGTGTTTAAAAGAAATACTAATTTAGGAAGCATCAAGCTAAAAAACAGAACTAAGACATGCAATATCATTTATTTTAAGATGCTTCAAATTTGCAAAGCCATTTTTTTGACACAGCCTTGCTTTACTCCAAACCAGACTACTGCCAGTTTGAGGACACCATACTCATCCCTAACTTCTTCCCACAACCGTCACACGTACATATCCCCGCATCACACAACACTTTACATCCTCCAGCAGTGCTGGTATTTCAACATAAGCACAGTTAAATACAGACTTAAAATTTCCAATGCTGTAAATGCTACACAGTTCACTTTTAATCAAGTGAAACAAGTCCCCAAACTCTTAATGTAGGCATAGCATCTCACTATTCAGCTACATCATTGGTAGCTACAAAAATATTATAAAGATTTCCTTGGTGGGTGCTACTACTTCTACAGCTATCTAGTCTCATTACCCATATGCAGAAAGCTCTTCAATCAGATTAGTTATTTTTCTTTGATGCTGAAAGGACCCAGTTCCAGAACCCAATCATTGGTCATATCCATATTTTTACACTAAAGTATATTCATGATCACAAAGCATGAATAAAGTCAGGTTTGTGTTGTGATCATTTTTTGAAAAAAAAAAACAAAACACCAAAAACACAGAGAAAGTTAAAAGAAAATGTTCCTTTTAAAAGCCTCAAAACCCAAAGCTGTCCTCTGGAAGGAATGTATACATGAGTTCAGCAATTTCCCCTCTGTTTTCTCCAAACTCCTTACTTCAGGTTGCACTTTAACTGCTTCCTAGTGACTTTGACCCATCAGTTTCCCATCTCTATCTCCTCACCCCAAACTCCTGATGAATTTTTTATATGTAGCGCAGATCTTTCAACTCTTGTCCCTGACCTGCAAGCAAATCAGTGCACAGAACCTGTTATTTGTCAGACACTACAGCAAAGGACTGTATGTACACAGATATAATAAAATCAGTGCAATCACAGTGCATAAATAGGCAAGACCATAACAGTTCTCCCTTCTAGGACAGAAAATAAAAGATCATGTCAGCAGAGCCACTTACTAACTAGCTCAACTCTCTAAATCACTTTGAAAACGTAAAAAGTCGTGTAAATAGCAGGTTAATTTCTCACAGTGAATGACAGCTAACAAAGGCTGTCAACGCACATAGTGAAAAAGATAAAGAAATCTTTCAGATGAAAGGCTGGGCTAGATACAAGCAAAAAGGCCTCAAATTCAGGAATACAGGCTCCAGAATAAGCAGCACTATGCTACAGCATGCTGAGCTTCTAACAGCTGTCTATAAGCTTTGGAAATGGAAACCACCAAGCCCTAAAGCAGCAATTAAACCATGGTCCACAGACCCATCTTTCAGTGCCTATGACCCGTTTCAGCTCTCCTTATTTTAGCTCCCGCCAGAACATATGCAGATGAAAGAACCAGACATCTCATTAAGATTTTCTGTTTTTTCACTCCAGCCTCAAGGAAGCCATTCAAAGGACAAGAGCCAAGGAGCTATGAGCTACTGGCACATCTCCCTTCCTCCTCTTCCCCGGTTCCTTCCCAGCATTACATACAGGGTGAAAATAATCAGGATCTAGGACACGTTTTTAATTCAAAGACATCTTTCAGACAAACAGAAAACCAATCAAGAAGCCGAGTCAGACAACTCGGGACTTTGCTGACTCATCAGAAGCCACTGAAGGGACTAAATCAAGGCACAGGAATACAGTTGCAACTGCAAATATACAAATCAACCTGCACAAGACTGAGCTCTTTAGGAGGGAAGTAGAATCACAAGTTTGAAGTGCTAGAAAGAGACAGTAAAATTGAAAGGGCAGTAAGTTGAAAAAAAAAAAAAAAGAAACCAACTTGCGAACAACTTTACCACAGTCATTTCTCTTGTCACTCTCATCCACGTGCACATTTTACACATTCCTTCAACAGAGCTACAGTAAGATCATCGTGCCTCTCTATTGATTCTTCAACTCACAACTGTACACTTCACTAATTATTACTATAAGCTTGTTATGTTGAAACCAGGACTCTACTAAATAATTTGTGGACCTCAAAAATCTAAAAGAATCAATAATTATCTATTAAAGCATGTCCTCAATCATACCAAGGGGAAAGAAAGATAGTCATACTCTCTACGTCAAGTAAGACTATCTGAAAACTCTATTTATCTTGCCAAAAAGACATGACATGAGTCAGTAATAAAGCACAGGTTCCTCACCAGAATTCACCAGTTTGTATTTTAAGGAATAATCAGAACATACTTCTGATTGGATACAGCTATGCATCCTACATTATTTCTACCTACAGCTCCAATGTCTGCCTAAAGGAGACAAAATAAAAAAGGGTATTAAAAAGAGACTACATAGACAAGCAAATAAGAATACTCAGAAACAAACTGTCAGCAAAAGTATTTTATCCAAAAAAAAAAAGCTTACAGTACCTTAGGAGGATTAAATGGATATGTTTCTGGAATTTTTATCTCTAGTTGATACCTTCCACCTGCAAAAGACAAGAACAAGTTAGAAATTAAAAGAACATTACTCAAGTTTATTCTCTTATGAAAATAAAGCTTACCTTTCTAAATGGACAGGTTTTCAACTAATTCAAATCTAGCATTAGTTAGAAGGTACTTACATATTTCATAATTTTTATAAATAAAAGCATATAAAGTCAATCTAATAAAGTCATATTTGCTTATGCAGATCAGCAACCGTATTTCTTATGTATACATTCTTCCACACTTCGCGGAAAGAGGATCCAATGTTACTTCCACTATATTCTCCGTTATCTGAAGTATTTACTTCTATACCAATTCTGCAAACACTTTTATTCACTAGTAGTGTAACATAATAATATAGTTTGTAGGATTACATCCGCTACAGGATAGTACAGGCTTTGCAGACAGAATCACCTTCTATGGTCCCTTTCTGAACATTTCTCAGTCTTTCGCTGTTGCAGTATCATCACCTATGTCTACTTCAATTAGAGTTGTTAACATTCAGAAGTTTAACGACAAAAAGAACAGTATAGCAAAACACATACACCAATTCAGGCAGTTTTTGTAGAAACCGAAAGCATTTCTCCTTACCTGCAATATTTTTTTCCTATTGCTGTTCTTTCAACATACTTCAACATACTTCATTACAATTTATAAACTTTCTCAAAGTGAAGTTGAAGTGTCTGTAATTTACTTCCTTTGGGATTTCAAGTGTGACTTACTCTGTCACTACACAAAACCAGTTCAAGCAGTCTCAACATGGGCAGTAAGATTCATACACAGGGAAAAAAACCTCAAAGGAATACTCTGAACAGTTAGAGGCTACGGCATCTTTTTATGTGTGTGAAAATGCACGTTAGCAGCTACTAAAACCTCTCACTTTTAATATGTAACTCAGCGTAATACACTACACCTGCAACTGGTTAGTATCAGTTCAGTATTCTACACTACTTTCTACAGCTGGTTTTTTTCCTCACTTTAATATTACAGTAACTTCAAGTTTTAACAAAACACAGAATAGAAGGCCAATAAATCCAAAACCGTAATAGCCAATGTCTAAATTGACTGCTTGTCTGCTTCAGGACAGCACAGGTAAAATATTTTTGAAGACACATAGATCAGCAACAGACCTTAAGTTTGTTTTTCCTTTTTGTCTGAATTGAAGCATAACTCAGCAGCAGTTTTTCCTAAGAAACAGAACAATCACACTGTTCTCTGATTACAAGACTTCATCAGCCCCTGTATGATTTTACTGATACACCATTTTCCAAGGTAATATAAAAAACCCTCAACTTATCCTTAGGTATTACTACTTCCTCCGCTTACCATTAACACTTGCCTTTGAAAGACAGGCTATGACAGCCTTCTGCACAACAGGCCATTCAGCCACCAATTTTTTCCACCAGGAATGTACAAGTCCAAAAGATTTTAAAACTGCAGGGACTAATGAGTTGGTCATATTATTTATACAGTAATGTTGTCATGCACTGAAGTTCACAGATAAAAAAATACAGCCTTGAAGACTTAAAGCTAAATAATTCTGGATATTCATTTCCTCAGTACTACATTCAAAACACAAGTGACTAATATACTAACTTCTGCATGCCAATACTTCTGTGGATTTTTTAAGTGAGTATGCATATGTATGAATTTTTCATAGCTATTTAATACTCGAGATCAAATTTAACAGTAATGGCAGAATATTCCTTCTGTGCCATTAGGGCAGATGTCTCAATAGAGTTGGAGCAATTTTTAACTATTTTCCTTGAAGAAACACCCTATTTTAAGTTTTGCAGATAGAGTAGCTCACAGGTGAACTTGGCTTAAAATTAATGCCATTGTTACACATGTTTAAAAAAAACCAAAAAACCAACAACAAACCAAACAACAGCCTACCTGCTGAAAAGCTCTCTAATCAACTAAAAGCCAGTAGCTATTAATCTAGACTTTCAAAGGTCTTCTCTCCAAATATTCGTAGAATGATTTGGGTTGGAAGGGACCTTAAATATCACCTACTTACAACCCTCCTGCCATGGCAGGGACATCTCCCACTAAACCAGGCTGCCCAGAGCCCCATCCAACCTGGCCTTGAACACTTCCAGGGATGGGGCCTCCACAACCTCTCTGTGCAACCTGCTCCAGTGACTCACCAAAAAATTTCTTCCTCATATCTAATATAAATCTACCCTCTTTCAGTTTAAAGCCATTTCTCCTTGGTCCTATCCCTACACTCCCCAATAGAGTCCTTTATGTTTTAACATGGGATGCAAATGTGTTTCACTTGGAAACTGTGCCCTGCAATACTCTGATAATTGATCAGTTTGAGTTGACAGCACCGATAGAAAAACAAAAGTTACAAAACTTGTCAACAACAGACGGCATTCTTCCTCTCAGACATGCTTAAAGCACTGTCCCAGCATCACCTACAGAGGATTTTTGCAGCAGTAGTTTGTTTTCAGAAACCTCAACAACTGTGGTCAGCAATAAATATTACTGTTCTTCCACCTCATAATGGTTCTAGAATTCCCTCCTGTATCACAGAATTGTCTGACCTGAACTACCACATTAATTAGCTTTTCTTCATAAAGCGCTTCTTGCTGTGTCATTGTTCAGACTACAGATGACAGGAGATCAGCCAGTAATTATGCAGCATGCATTACTGCGTTAGTCATAAAATGAAAATTACACACACTGGCAAGCCCTTTGTAATTACATAAGGGAATAAATGCACAGAACTATGCTACAGAAATATTAACATTCCAAAGTAAATTAATATCAGGAAGCACCAGAAATAGGGCTGCCAGTAACTTCTGTTTTGCTCCCTGGCGCACATGCATTCTAGAATGAAGACAAGCATACGATCACATTATTTTTCCACGAGATCCTTGCCATATAATCTGAATACATAATAGTTTTAGTTCCCAAAAAGGGATATTTACTATATCCTCACCATTAAATGTACTCATATGTTCATAAGCACGCATGCACTTCACACCAAGAGATTCTATACTACGCATATATTACTGATTTTCATTAGCACAATATGCTGAATACATGAACACTGGACTCTGCTTCAGAAATTTTGGTCTAGCTGAATTACCCAGCATCACACAGAGCTCAGTTCTGCAGACAAGCATTCAAATCTCATTTTACCCTCTTCATGAACTGCTCTATAGTTTTTAACTTTTGTGACACATGAATACATCTTTCATTTCAAATAACTCTCAATACAGTCTCAAAAAAAAAGTCCATTTTATAAGCTGATGTAATGTTGACCTGGAGGGGAAGGGAAAAGAAAAAAAAGGCAAGCCATGACAAACCAACTCACTCAAGAAGTATTAATCCTACCTGAATGGGGGAAAACACACACACAAAGAAAACACCAAACAAACAAACAAAAAAACACCGAAAACCCAAATACAAAAATCCAAACACTGGACTATCCTAAAACACCACTCTTCTGCTTCCATTCAGATGTCTCCTGGTATTCACTTACTTAATTTTGCAACATCTTGGTTTTACACAATCAACTATAATTGCAAAAGAACTATTACACTAAACAGAATTATCCACTTCCAGATAGGTCACCAGCACAACCAAGTATTTTATGTCCACAGCATAGTTCTCTCTTTAAATTGAAGGTACATGTAAGTTAGCTTCTTTCCAGACATTATCTTCTGTTAAGTAAACTCTCGAGGCTGATGAGATGAGGACAGAGACACAGCAGGGAAGGGAGGGAGAAAGAGGGAAAATCACCGAATTATTTGCTGGACAGCAGAGGAACTCTGGGACTTGAATTCAGTAGGAGGAACATCCTCATCACTACAGAAGCTTTTGCTTTTCTACTCTCTCCCTTCCTGACTCATTTTCTCTCTCCTCAGCTTCTGACACCTTCTACCCCTCCCTAATATCAGCCTCTGTTCGGTTGTCTCCCCTTCCATTATCTGGGGAGACCCTCTCCCTGCCCTCACCAGCAGCTCCTAGCCTGGAGAAGCAAATCCCAAGGGATGTCCTCCTGTGGCAAGAGGCAACAACCAGATTTTCATCAAAAGCCTCTAATGCTTTCAAGTGCATATACACCTCTACCTCCACAACAGCTTTCAGATAATTTTCCCTATCTGACGAGAACTTATTTTTCAAAATATGGCAAAGAGCACGTGTCTGGTCTCTAGACAGCGCTCAAGTCCCACTCTTAGCTCCAGGGCACAGGGTAACTAGAGAAATCAAAAAAACTCAGGAAATTGTTTAAATTTCCAACAAAATAGTTTGCCCGTAACAGTCCCTGAGATTGATTTTTTTTTTAACTAGAAGTTCAAATTCAAATCAAAGCAGATATCTGGAATAGAAAATTTGCATAAAACATAATTTAAAAGTAACCAAATGTTTTTATTTTTAAGTTTAAAACCCAAAGTCCTCATTTACCATCAAAGTAAGTTAATAGAAAGTGTCGGACAGCTCCATATATATTATACACAAGTAAAATTTACAAGTATGAGCACTACTGTGTAATTTGGTATCCCTGAAGCATGCTATACTGGCTTCTGTTAAAGATTCTATATGCAATAAATCACCTTGCTGAAGAGGTGCACAATCACCAATACTGACTTTCTTGTTCACTAAAGTTGGTAAGATGTAATTTTTGGAGAACTGTAGACATGAAGTTCTATTACAGAGTCTTCCACTCCAGTAAAAATTAAGCATTAGGAGCCACGAATGCCCAAGATTAACTCAAAATTTAATTTGTGATAGTATCTCTCCTTGGGACAGAAAAATGCAACATGTTTTTGAATGATCACCACAGGAAATCCATGTACAGTTACATTAGATGCTGAAGCTCAGTTTCTTGATGCTTCACTGCTACGGAGCTTAAACTGTCAATACAGTAAACAAACAACTAGAAGTCAGAATTATAGCCATTAGACTGTACAGTTTATACCTGTAAATTAACCTTTCATATGCGACAGTCTTTCCTATTGTAAAAGAGATCTGCCTTCAGGCAACACAAGTTTTTCAAAACTAGAATTTGCCTTTTAAAAAAAAATCAGACTATTTTAAAAACACAGAGCTCTACATTTTTACACTGTAAATTAATTTTACAAACAAAGCATCTCAAGACACATGATTTGAAGTGTACAATATTTGCATACACAAAAATATTACTTGCCTTCATATGGTGTGTCCGGAGGTCCTGCTATTTCTCCTCTTAATTCTGTAAAATTCTCATCTACAAGATCTACTTTAATTTGATTTTTGCTCGTCTTAAAAATAAACAGAGAAACAAAGAATCATAAGTAAGCATTTGACATACATATTTCCCCCCTAATATGATATTTTAAAATTTTGGAATAATAATGGTTGGGGTTTTTTAAAAAAATATAAATTTTAAAATATAGTAACCTAAAGCTCCCAGTTGGAATTTTACTTCATTAGAAAAATAGATGACTTGTGAAGCATTAGAAATTTCAACACTATTATTTATACGATCACTAAAATAAGCACAGCAACCCAGTAATAAAATATATTTAATTATATTTTAAAAAGATCATGTTCTTTCAAATCAACAATTTGCATATTTTTAACTATAAAATCAAATTGATCAAGCTACCCATTTTTTTCTTGTTTAGAGCAACTAAATGACTGTCACTTTCACTGGACTAGAAAAACATCTCTGCAAAAAGGAGTGCTCGCTATTTTTAAACAGTACCATGATCCAAACAGAATACTGTAGTCTTGCTTAAGATCATGTTTATCTTTAATATTTAAGCTTGAATTTCATTGTCACTTCCCTCAACATTTTCACACCTCATATCAACTTGCCTACAAAATAAAAACACTGTTTTGATACTGAAAAAAACATATGTTTTCCAGGAACTGATTCACAGAAGTACATAGCCAGAGCTACCCATCCCACTGAATTTGCCTTCCAAGTCCAGACAGCAGCATTAGTGAAATTCATGCAAGTCTTCCAGCCAGAAACCTGCTTTGGTGGACACAAAGCAGAATCTCCTTTTAGAAAGATACACCATGAAGTTTTAGAGGCGAGTAATCACAGGTTTGTCTATTCTGCTTCTGTGTATCATGCTTACTGACTGCAACAGAGATTTCCCAAGTACTACAATTTTATTTTTTTTCCCCAAGAACTCACAGCATCTGCCCAGATCCTTTAAAATTGTTCCAACTAGTTCTATGCCAAAAAGCCCTGTGCAACTGTGCTCCCCTTCTCTCTCAGAGCAAACCTGGTTGCTGACAGCTGTGAGCAAAGGGTTAAGTCAGATAAAGCTCACGGTTGCCACCAAACAGTTCTTGGATCTACTACTTCTGTGAACTATCAGGGATGCAGAAGTCATTGAACCACAGCTGGGAGATACCTCTAATTCCTTCCTGTAAGTGTTCTATAGGCTCAGCTCCTGCACCAGAGAGAGGGCTCCTCTGACCAGAGATGCTCACAGATATAAAGAAAATAAAATCAAAGTTTCAGTAGAAGTTTCACCAATTAATCCCATGGTGATTTGGGAGCATTTTACAGCCCTTCAACCCACACAAACGAGGCAGCACCTGCAAATGCACAGCTGAGGCCAAAGTATTGCACTTCAGAAAACAAAGATTCAATCAAACTACAAATTAAGAACACACCATGCACCTCCAAAATCAAAGGCCAGTTAAATACTAAATGTAATGGTTCTGTTTTACTAATCTGTATCCATAAGCCAGCTTTTTGTTTTAAGCATCACATTGACTCTTGCATCATCTTTCATGACCTCACCTAAGGCATCAGAGTAAGGAAGCTAACTCATAGAACTGATGAAATCCTGTTTTTAAACATATTTTAGATAAATTAACAGTAGCAGGAGAGAAAATGATATGACCAGACAGCAACCAAAAGTTTTCTTTTAAAGCTTTGTTTCCACAATACCGAGCAGGAGGACAGACTGTTCCAGGGAGACAGCCCTCCCCAACAGCCACGCAAAGTGAGAAACTCCTGTATTTTTGCTCACTATTCCAACTGGCAGCTCATTCCACAACGTCACAATTGTTAAAAGCTTTTAAACTACAATTTAGGTAAAGTTATAATCTATTTACGCCCACTTGTGACACCACTGTTTCCTAGCTTCAACAAGTTTCTTTGTATCTCTAGTATTTCTTCCCCTCATAGAATACATTGCATTTATACCAATATCACTTTTCAGCTTTAATCTCACTGTAAAACTGAAATTTCAATCATATCAATTTTTTTTTTCATTTCCCACTCTACATCCCATGATCACCTAACTAGCCCTACCTAAGCGAATTTAGAGGCAGTCTTTGAATCAGTGCCATGAACACTGTTGCACTCACTGAAAAGAAATCACAACCAACTTAAAATCAAACTTCTCTATTCCATGGCAACACATCACACAGCTCAGATCAAGTAAGAGAATCCCAGCAGGGCTTGCTATGGAAATTTTTGCCCTCTTCAGTGACAGGACTGTGTTTTCTCAGAGGTACTGCTCCCTGTGCATTGCCTCTGAAGTCACAGAACAGCCCACTGGTTTAAATAATCAATACAGTAAACGAGTCACCAAAACAAGTTTAAATAATCAATACTGTTAAAAGTCACCAAAACAACGTGCCCCGTAATGCAACCATCCTAAGGTCTATTTAGGTTCTCCTGCTCTCCCTCCATCGACTTCACCTGGTAAACTCCAAATTGACCAAAGCTCTTGCTCTTTCCAAGTAAACCTGCAACTTTTCATTTCAGGACTACAGTAATAACAAAAGGGACGAATTTCAATTATACAACCCATGGTAAACCCACACTGCAGCTTGTTTAATTTTCTACTTAGCATTTTACGTCTCTTCAATGCCCTCTACACTGTTGTAGCAGCCTGGATATTCATCTTCCTAAGTCATTTAATTAGTAGTACACTAGCTGTTTTTCACAACAAATTCCTTCTGACACTAAATTTGGTTTAAAAAAAACCAAACAAAAACACCCCACACCACTCAGCAACAAAAGAAGAAAAAAAAAATAATCAAACAAACACTACTGCTAAGCTCAGTTTCTGTCAAGAGTCAGCGATCCCGGTTCCCCCATTGGAGATGACTGCTTTTCTTACTACAACTATAGCTATATGCATATCCCAACTTCCTTTGTACAGAACCTTAAGGAAAAATGGCAGGCTATACTGTTTCAGTGTAAGGATTAATTCAATTCTGGGTTCATGCTTAAATTTTACCATGCCCTCCATATTTTATTGACACAGTTAAAGAACCTTTCCTGCTATTGTGATAGGCTTTTCAAGGTGCAACGCAGCTTGACCCTTTCAATTCTTCCCTCTTCCTTCATCCCTAGAGCAGTAACTAATATTTAACCGTACTGAAGTGATTTTTCTTCCAATTAAATCTGTGTTTTGCTACAACTTTTCCTCTTAACAAGGATCACATAGGGAAAATTACTTAATTTTAGCAGCTCTAACATAATAAATCCCTGGCCTCCACCATGATCACTCAAGCTGTCTCTGAAATACTATTAACAGCTGACTTGCCCAAAAGTGTGCCTCTGACACCAATTATGTTAGCACAGAATTTACACATTAACTTGTGGTCTCACAACACAAAGTTGATTTTCCAGAAGTTCTACAAAGACCTCATTACATTCCCATACCAAGTCCAAAACAGCATGACCTCCTGTTGATTCAGTAACAATTTAGTGACTAAATCACTGGGCTGGAGGTTCCTGAAATACGAATCATGCCACTGCTAGCAGCACTTATTTCCATAATCTCAAAGTTAATTTCTGTAGCAATACGATTCCCACTAACATTTCTTGCCAACATGAAAACTCTCCGACATCAAAATAATTTGCTAGGAATTTAAAAGCCCAACACCACACCATCAGAACTTCCCATCACCTTTTTTCTTCATATTCTAGCTGGATTACAAATAGCCTTTTTTTCCTTTTTAAACACATTCCCTTCTTCACACGAGGGCTCTAGTCAAAAGATTTGTCATCTTTTAGACCATCACAACTGCTGAGACTCTTCACACATTGCTACAGTCACACTTGTCCAATTTTGTTCTGTCTCATGGAGATTGATCTCCAGTGCTTGGGAGGCACACAAAGAGTGAGGCAGAAAACTTGGAAAAGATTCATAAGGCACTTCCTTTCATTACAAAACCTTCATCTCTAAGAAGAAACCTAAAAGAATCAATCTTTCACAGAGTCGTTCTGTGAGCATCTCCCAAAGATTGGACATACATTCACAGTAGCTATTAACAGATAATATTGACTTGCCCTTGCCTGACTCCTCTTTAGAAAAGATAATCCAGAATTACACCGTCTAGTCTTACACCTAAATATCTTCCTCCTATAAAACACATAATCCACTCCAGTAGAAACTTTGAAGACCAAGTCCTACCACCAAAGACTGGTCACACACATCTTCTCCAGTTCTACCAAAATCCCTTCAGAAAGCAGCTCCAGAACTTGCAATATTATTCTTGGCAGACAACCTCATTCCTTTTATTCACTAGTCTACAGTCTTAACAAGAAGTCCCTCAGAGGGGCCTGCCTTTTTTTTTTTTTTTTTACAGTTAATTCACCCTTTCTCCTGAGCCTTCCATGCCACCTCCTTCCCACTTCTCCAATCTACCTTTACAAACCTCTTTTATGAGTTATTCATGGCCTGTTATATCCTGCACTAGTCCAGGACCTCCATCCTTAAAAAAAAAAGAAAAAAAAAATCAATTTTTTTTCCCCCACAGAAAATAAAAAAGCAAAGAGACAGGACTATAAGACCACCACCGGAATACAGTTACAGAATCACAGAATGGGTTGGGTTGGAAGGGACCTTAAAGATTATCTAGGACCAACTCTCTGCCATGGGAGGGACACATCTCACTTGACCAGGTTGCTCAACATCCCATCCAAATTGGCCTTCAACACTTCTAGAGAGGTGGCTTCCACAGCTTCCCTGGGCAACCTGTTCTAGTATGTCACTACCATCACAGAGAATTTCTTCCTAATATCTAATCTAAATCTACCTTCTTTCAGTTGGAAACCATTAGCCCTTGTCCTATAATGACACTCTATCAGAGTCCCTCCCTTTCTTTCCTGTAGAACTGGAAGGCTGCTATAAGGTCTCTCCAGAGTCTTCTCCAGGCTGAACAACCCCAACTCTCTCAGCATGTCCTCACAGGGAAGGTGCTCCAGACCCCTTCACGGGCTCCTCTGGACCCTCTCCAACAGGTGCACAACCTTCTCGTGTTGGCAGCCCCA